GGGGGGGGGGGGGGTGTCGGGAATAACGCGTTGTATTGGGGAAAGATAAATGATTCTCGGCAGCTCGCGTCGCTGGAAACGTTTCAAGCTGGAAAAAGTTTCAATCGTTTTTCCTCCCATTCGTTCTCTTTCATTCGGCGCGCGGCGGGGTATTTACCGAGCCAGTTTCCTACCTCCTCTCGCGATTATGGGATTTTATGTGATTACTTATGAGGAAATATTAGGCATTTCTTCGCTCGACGCATTTGGCAAGGAGAATAAACTTCGCCGCCGGGTAAATCTCCTTTACGGCGTGGACGAGGTACCGATCGAGATTCGAGAGACGGGTTATTTGGGATAACGCGTGCGTTCCCTCTCTCGTTCGCGGCGTAACGCAAAAATACATCGCGCGGAAGTGGGGCCGTGGATTTTGTTCGATTAAGTATTAAAATTAAGGTCCCCCTCCGCGACAACGAGGTGAAGAGTGATCCGCGGAAAAACGCGGCGGTGACGAACAGAAGAACAAAATGCTTTCGGGTCTCGGCAAGAAAAATAAGCCGAGATAATCTCCGTCGACATCGTTTGCCGTGGTTATGGAATCGAGCCTTTTCCTTTCCTTTACCATTATGAGATTTCCCGACGTCTATTTCCCGACGCTATCCGCTGTCTGTGAAATGCACCGCATTAAACCGGTAGTTCCGAGCGAGAGCCAGGAGGGAGAGGGGAAGCAGGAGGATCGGAGACAGTTCCGCGACGAGCTCATCGAGCCTGCATGCCGAGTTTTTCGATAATCACCTTTCATAACCACGTTTCCTCGGTTACTCTTCCCATCTCCCGCGTTCCCTCAAACATCTTCCACCATCGCCGACCGTCCCCACGGACCACTATTCGAGCTGATATCTCACCGTTGCACCGTGCCACGTTAGTGTGATCAATCCCTCGGGAAAATACGACGACGGTGGAAGCATCCCGCATAATATATTAGGTATGTGCACAAGTTTTGGTCTTTTCTTAAGTAATAAGTAAGCTTATTCTGCGTTTATTTTCAATGCCTCTAAGCTCACATGTTACTTTTCGCAAAGGAATCCGAAATTTACTAGAGATGCCAAAAAGTCATAAGTCTATATTAAAGTAAAAGTTTCCGGATACTTATCTAGGTTACATTCCAAAACGTCTTTTTTGCCAACGTCCTTTTTGAGGAAATTTTACTCGATACTTTCTAATATATGTAACGTACACTATAAATATTGAGTAAAATTTTGCTCAAAAAGTACTTTTTGGAATGCAACCCTAATCCCGAGCATTCTTATTGTTTTGCTCCTTAAATAAGGAACATTTCATCCTTAAATAAGGAATATTTAAACTTCTAACATAGAATGTATGTATATATTCAATACTTGTACATACATTTTATGTTGAAAGTTTAAATATTTATATTTAAAGCCCAAAACAATAAGATTGTTCAGGATATGTCCAGATATTGGTACTTTTACTTTAATAATCGTTACTTGAAACTTGATTTTTAGATTTATATAATATTTAGAAATGGATGCGAGTTTTTCAGTGGTGCAACGATTGCAAACGTCGCGCATATCATATGATTTACTATAGAAATTGAGATCTAACTCTGAATTTGAGTCTGATTATCTCACGTGAAAGTAACAAGTTTCAAGTAACAACTATTAATATGAGGCAGTGAGGGTAAATATTTAAATAACGACTGTTAATATAAGCGAGGATAAATATTTTGATGTGCGATTGAATTGTATTTTATATACTGAGGGAAAAATTATCTTAAAATCAACAAATACTTTTTTGATGGGTGCCATTAACATATTTACTTAAATCTAAATTCTCTTTATTTAAATCAAATATTGTTTACTTGATTTAAGTAAACGTGATCACTCCCCAATTTTCTATAATTAAGAGAATGCCAAAGTGAATGACGAATTCGAAAAATATCGATAACGTAGAAGCAATCGTTACAATCGCGTAACACGTGCGATCATACTATCCTTTTCGTATTTCGTGTATATATAAATCTTATATAAATGTATGCTACTTTGTTTTATTGTGCTGGTAAAAAATATAACCACGCATATATAGAAATTTTTCTACAAATCTTTTGCGAACTTTTGGGCTTCTATATTCAGTTGCAAAGATACAGGAATGTTTCTTTAAAATTTCCGTTAGCGGAACAAACATACGTACGTTTTGCATAGCATTTTGTATCAAATAAATATTTACATCAACTGATAGAGCTCAGGATGTCTAAAATTTTTTGCCGTTTTCATCACGAGCAATGCTACAATTCATTATTGCATTGTATTTTCATTGTATAGAAACATTTTTGCAAGTTAAAATTAATAATTTAATATCTCAAGCATGTAATTCTGAGTAGGAAACCTAAAAAATTCCATTTGATCTTGATGAAGTTATTTCAGAGATTTTCTCTGGTTTTCGATTTACGTTGCAATAGAATATATGAAACATTTTAAATATTTGCATTTTATAAATATTTGAAAAGTGTCAATAGTCGTAATGTTAAAATTTTTAGTTTTTTATTCTATTGAATTCAAAATAGTCCGGATATAAAAATTGGTAAAAAAATCCGGTATAAAAAAGAGGTTCCCTCTTTTCCTATAAATTATAATTAATATAATTCCGTAAAAGTATATTGATTTTATTTATAAAAATAAAGTGTTAGTTTTACACAATATTACTATTTCAATCGTAGACATAGAAGCCATGTTTAGGATAAGAATAGGATTTTTAATTGATGTGAATGAAATAACTTATTTTGAGGTAAATTTGTGCATTTTGAGTGGATCTATGCTGCTTTTATGCTGCTTCCGAGAAAATCATGGAAGAGTTCTAATGCAGAGTAACGATTAACGAACAATGGACCGTTGTTGTCTGGGTTTATTGTATTCGCCGTTTCGGCGTCGAGAGAGATGTGTTTTGAAGCAGCTACAGAGAAACCGCATTACCGGGCAATCGTCCGTTTCTAATATTGCCTAAAAAGCGGCGAAAGATTGTTGCCACTTGTTATTACTGGCTGCTCCGATATTAACGATATAGCAATCATCGACCCGACCTTTCGCGAGGCGTGGCAAGAGGATACTTGGAAAGTAGGCCAACGAGCGCAGCTTTTTAAATAGCAGGCTCCCATGATTTCGAGCGACTTTAATCTCGAGTGCTTTTCGATATCTACTATCGACGGAAATTTATATCCGAATATGTCGTTGTTGTGCAATCACACCCAGCTGTGTGTCCCAGAATATATTCTCTAACGTTCACGATGGAATGCTGCAGGGAGAAAAAGAATTGGTTGGACTAACTTGGCAATGAACGAACCAAACACGTTCTAGTTGAAGGAAACAGAATTTCTGGTTCTTAGGAGCTAAATTCAGTTCTAAGATTTTTTCGAAATTTTTCCAAAACCGAATTTAATCTTATTTGTGTGTGCATCAAGGAGGTTCCAGCTACTCTCTGGTCGACTATTATTTTATTAATAAAATCGTTCTCAAAATTACTAGAAAAATTATTTTGATAAGATAAATAATATTAGTAAGATAAAATTCGCAAATGTCACAGATGTAGTAATTTTTTTTAAAAGTTACCAAGTATTTAAAAAATGCCAAAATAAAAGTTGTAAGACACATTTGGTATCAATATCAATTATAAAAGAAATATGAACGTGAAATGTATTCATTATTTAACAAATGTGATAAATTTTATGAGTTTTATTTAATTTTAATTGAAAGTACAAATATGTTATGTTTAAATAAATAATAAATATAGAAATGATGTTATTGGATTATTTTAAATCTCTGGCGGTAATTTATCATGAATGTGATGTTGCTATGTTTTCAGTTGCATGTAGTGTCGATTTTACGAATTTTCTTATTGAAATATTTAAAATTTCCCTCAATTTTTCTTTTGACGGTGAATTTACGCGATATCTCAGTAAAATATGCTTAAATATTCATTTTAATATTACGACAGTTTTTCAAAAATCTGTTTCATGTACAAATATGTTAAATTAGAAGAAATTTGTTATATTATAAAGTTCTTATAATACAAATTTACAATTAAATATCAAGGAAACGGTGGAAGATTATTGAAATTTCTGTTATGCGTTGTTAGCTTGATTAGTTTTTATATCATATATTTATCTTTCGCTTGGTTAAACGCTAAATCCTCCTTAATTGCAATTTTAGTTGTTATGAGATCTTTTTCTCGAGACTCTCGAGTCTCAAGTGATGCTCGAAACGAGTCGAATTCTTGTTCCCTTTGAAAATCGCCCTCAGACAGGGGACATCCGCACGGCCATCATGGTGCCGTTCATTATCCGCTTAACTCGCGGTTGCCGACTAATTGACGCTATTAATCGCGATAATTGGCGCGTTCCCGAGCGCGTCGACCCTTACAGTAGTACGAGATCGCCAGTCCCGGCGAAGTTGGAAGAATGCGACTCCGCCGCGAATTTTCGCTAGCTCTCCTGTGCTTCTGCCTCCGCGATATTTGTAGCACAGCTTTATCTCAGAGCAGGGGTGAGTTCGCGCGCGATAAGAGATACCTGGTGTACCCGCGGCCCGGAGAAAGATATGCGGCGACGAAAGTTCAGGTAAAATGGGAACGCTCTAAAATGAGATATACGCGCACGCGATCGGATTGCTTCTCGATCTCGACGATATCGCGAAGGATTTTTATTTATTGAATTGTTCCCTTGCAGAAGAGAAAGTGGGTTGATGTTAAAAAAATTGTAATATAAGTTATAGTTAATATGAAATCTTTTATATAATTAGTTGAACTAACGTGACAATGAACGACGCGTTTTGATTTAAGGAAACAGAATTTCTGATTCTGACAAAACAAATTCGGTTCTAAGATTTTTCCAGTTTCTTTTCCAAGACCAAATTCCGCTTTTTCTCCGCGTGTAAAATTGTTATTATTGACTTAATGAAACTTAATCAAAAAGTGACTTTAATTACTTATTTTGTTCAATAAGTATTATAGAAACATTTAAGAAAATCAATTTTTTGTATGAAAGTACCTCAAAGAGATTAGATTTTTGCTATGTTCATGTGTGTTATTGGTTTCATGTAATATTAGGGGTTTTCTACAAAAGTTTTTACAGCCTGTTAAAATTAAACAAATTATAAAAATGTCATTAATTTATAAATATCTCAAAACATATTGAGTTCTTGCTACATATGCTTTAGATTATTCTAAAACATAGAGTATAGAATTTATTTTTTTGAATTAAATAAACATGATTTTTTCTTTAACCCTTTAAGTCATAGTGTATAATATATGATACATCTTTTTTAGAGCAGTTTTTACGAATTTAAATTAATTTGTAGAGACTTCGAGGCGGTAAATGTGGATTTATTGTAAAGCTTAGATTTTCTTCTAACAGAATCATCTGCATAGAACATAAATTTAGTTATTCATAAAGAAATTAATGTAAGAAAATGGTATCTTTTGAAAAAAATTCATTTGCCAAAAATATTGCAAAGTAAACCTATGGAAAAAAAATGGCTTGGTTGATGCTTTTTGAGTAGATGATGATGCAACTTCAAAAATTTCAAAATTCAAGATAGCGAACTCAATATGCGAGCTAAAATACCAACAATCAAAATAAGTTATATTTCTTTCCGTAAATGAATGAAGTTGAGTCTGTGAATAGTTTGAATTTCAAAAAAGTGATTTCGAATTCATGATCGGCGACCCTAATATTCATGATACATTTTAGGGAAATCGAGGGAGTTTTAAAATTGTCGTCCACCAAATTGGATTTGCCATCTTCAATTTTCAAAAACTGACTTCAAATTTGTAATTAGCGACCTCAAAAACCCCCAGATATCGATTGAACAAAGGAATAGGTTGTGCAAAAAAATTTGTGACTTAAAGGTTAATTCGTGACTTCAAAACAATTCTATTGACTTTTAAGTCATTTCGAAAATTTTCACTTTTGTAATTTTGAACCTCAGCAACTATTACTTGTAAAACTAAAGCGCGCATTGTTTGTTTAAGCAAACAATAATAATTGTTAAATATCTTGTAAACTATGAACTCTAGATCACACATACCTTAGACCATTTTTATATAAAGTTTCATATTTTGCTGAAAAAGATTGAATCAAAATTATGCATTCTTATCTAAAAATCAAAGTAACACTTGAGGTGACCTTGAAAGAGGTCATTTTTGAAAATTCAAGGTCATCATCTCTTTGCTCCTTTGAATTCTCAAGTTTTTGTTTGACACATTTCTTTTTATAGTAACTTGTTTTTGAGATATTTGAGACTAAATTAAAATGAAATAATCTGTACATGTGTTTGACACATTTCTTTCTATAGTAACTTGTTTTTGAGATATTTGAGACTAAATTAAAATGAAATAATCTGTACATGTGTTTGACACATTTCTTTCTATAGTAACTTGTTTTTGAGATATTTGAGACTAAATTAAAATGAAATAATCTGTACATGTGACGTGACAAAATAACGACAAAAGTAGCGGTTATTTTCACGTTACTACTAATAATAAAATCACTATATTAATGATACAGTTAATATAAAGATTATAGTAAGACTTATAATTAGATAATGAGATTTAGTTGATAATAAAAAGTTTAAAGTGGATTACGACGCGGGGAACGACGCATGAGAATCGCGGGCGTTGAGCAAAAATTGTCCCCGGGATCGTTTCTCGCGTATCATCGTTCGCGAAACGTTCGTCACGTTCGTCACGATGGCTCGTGATCACCGGCTGTTCGAATCAGCGAGTATCGGGACGTTTATTTTCCAATCTAATTTCGCGCGCTTGAACGTCGATCGCTGCCAACGTCGGGCGAGAGAGTGGCTCGATCTCTGGCCGCGATCGATGACACCTTCCTATATTTGAAAACCGTTCCAGTTAATCCTCGGCTTCGGTATACCCATGGAGGTTGACGTCAGCATGATTATCGGCTATGTGCTGAAATTTAATTACGACCTGCCGTATAACGCTTCGTACTTGACGGATCCATATGTTCGCTATGACAGATCGATCAACCGCCGTGCACAACCTGATGGAAATGACGCTTCCTCGCCGAGTACGAAAGGTATCACATGTCCTTTCTTTGTTCTGTCGAGCACGCGAATCACTCACACCCTCAACATCCTCGTTGATTCGAATCAGAGGATACGACTCGATGAATTTATTCGAAGGAATCCCCCCCCCCTTCCCCCGTCACGTCTCTGCGCTATCCCCGGCACGCTCTCGCGAAAGATGAGCTTTCCGTGCGCTTACACGCTTCTCAGGTAGAAAATTGTCAATACGCTGGAGCGAGAAGAGGAGAGCGGCTAGGTGTCGGGGAAGAAGCACGAGATTATATAAGAAGTAGCGTTGCAAGATGCATCGAGAGGGAGCTCGAGTGAATCTTTGCCCCTCGATATTTGACAAGTACACTTGGCACTGGAGTGTCGAGGAAGAAGGCTCGATGGGCCGGGATAAGGCGAGGATCCTTTCCCTTTGGACATTAATAAGGCTACTCCAATTCGTTGCGTAGCCCGTGGCTATTCACCCCCACCCACAATGGATGTTAATCCTGCTCCTTTATCGAAGCACTCTCCCCCATTCGCTTTGATCTCTCGTTAATCCCGAACTTAAATTAGCCGAAATTTCTTTCTCCCTCCTTCATTCTTACACCATGTGTAATATCGGACATGTAATAAATTATAATATGTCTCATCCCCCTCAAGCACCTTCCTCCCTTTGACTGGTCTTTGAGAATATCCTCCGTGATATTAACCGTTCGCGATAGTAGGAGAAAGCGATAAAAGTTTCACGTGCTCTCTCTTTCTCGCTCAAACTTTTAGATGAGTAGCACGTAGCGTACACTAAGACAAAAATTGGATAAAAGGAACTAAACTTCAGGTTTAAACAAATTTTACTGCGCAAACTGCAATTATATATAGTTGTGTCAACTGTTAAAAAATTTGTCAAAATAAGTGGATTTAATTGCAAGAATGGTTGATTTATAAATAATGGTTGGTCTAATATAAGTAATTTTATTTTATTTTATTTTTAGTGGAAAGTTAACTCTCTTTCAGAAGTACTGATGCATTTGTGTACTTTTAGATACATTTAGGTTAGTCTTTTATTTTTTAATTTGAAAATTGTCGACAAAATGTAATAAACATTACAGTGAATATATATTTGCTATAAAATTTTAGAAAAAAAACAAAGGAATCGCGTCATATTTATATCATCTTAAAATTAAATAATTTTCTTCTGATTAATAAGTCTATCAAATAGAATCGAATGATACAGTATAAGTACAACCAATAGTTTGTTGGGTTGTAATCAAAAGATTCACCTTTTCAGCAGCATCTCGACTAGAAATTTATCTCATGATCATGATTAGGTTGACCTCAATTGGTTACTAGGTCCGTACAAGGTAATATTATCGGGTTCTAACAAGTCATGTAAGGCTGTGTGGTAATCAAGACCTTACTTCGCCAAATCCTAGCCAGATCTTTACATACAGAAAACATATTTCTTTTAATTTAATACAATTTGTTGAATTTAAATAAATATAATAATTGAATAAATTGTCTGTCTGTCTGAAAAAAGCTGTTTGTTAAAAAAAAGATATTGGCTACTAAAGGTTCATATATTTTATACGTTTTTGTCTTTCCATGGTTTGATTCGGTGTGGCGTCCTACCGCGGTCACCCATTTTATTAGATGCGATCATTGGTTGTTTAAACTTCGAAGATTGAACGACAGACATTTACCTTAATAACTCTGACATTATTGTTATGATTCAACCTTATAGAGAGTATTCTTATAATATATTCACGAACCAGTGTAATAAAACATATTTATTCGCAATAATACAACAGTCTTCATGATTACTTTGGGTTTCTAACCAAACATTATATAATGGGTAATTTAAGCAATAAATTGATTTGAAACAAATCCAAGGAAAATCCAAACTAAAGAAATTGGATTATTGAGTCTAAAAGATTTGAAAAATACTACTTTAAACAATAGCTTTTTTATCAAATAACATTATTTTTTCCAACAAAACAACATAGTTCTGTTAGAAAATTTTTTCTATTAGAAAAAAATGATATTTTGTATGAAAATATGTTGTTTTAGCGAAATAAAGCCCAAATAAATATAATACTAAATCTAAAAATTATTCTGTGCAGAGAAAAAGATTATTTTGTTTGAGAAATAAAGAAACTATCATTTTATTTAATGATTTTAAAATATCTGACATTTCATTAATAACGTGTGATGTTTTCACTTTATCATAAGCTTTTTCTCCCATTCACATTTCCCACTGTATTCAACAATACATTAAGTTAATACATTAAGATTCTAATGTGGTTCTATGATGGACTGTTGTAATCTTATAGAAGTTTTCTTATTTAGTTCCATTACATTCTTTCAAATCCTATCACATTCCTATCACATCTTTGACATAAAACATATACTTAGGATTATCTTACATTTAATCATTTAGGTCCTTGAACAATACACGATAAAAATTTTTAGTCGGGATACTCAGCTGTTAATTTTATAATGGTCTTATAAAACTAAATCCTTAATTGACTTTACACAAACGCAAAAGATTAAAGCAACACGAAACTTTTGCTGAAAGAATCAGAGCGATTAGTTTGTTATGCACAACTTTAAGGTTAAGTTCGTTTGCCTCGTTTCGAGTAGCTTTGATGAATCTTTACTTACAGTATAGCTCTACGTGGTGCTCAAGAGAAAACTATTTGAGCAAGATGATGAACATTTTCGTTAAACAGATCAAAAGAAATATCTATATCTCCATTTTGATCGTATCCGCGCATTAATTTTCGCTCTTCCGTAGACGAGACGGCCTTGATATCCAGATGGGAGTATTACGAGATCCTTGAATCGGCTTTCGAGCCAGCGCGTTCGGGCAAAGCCTGCCTTTTAAAAAGCATTTGCGAGACCGCGGCGGTGCCTTTCGGTCGAAGTCGTAGTTTGACTGCGCAGCTCGTCCACGTTTTCCTCACGTAAGTGTTAATCCGGCGAGTAGTCTCTTAGAATAATCTTTGCTAAGACCCGCGTAGCATCCGCGATTAAGGAATTACCTTGCGTTACGTTGCGTTTGCCGTGCCATTGTTATGGCTTAAGGAAACGTGAACGGTTTACGTTACACGTGCGACTGTGTTACGTGGCGCATACCTGCGACCATCGCACCTGTAATTAGCTTGTGAGACATCTATTTCGAGGAAAAGAAATAGAAAGTTGGGTCGATAGTGCTTTCATATACAGGGTGTCCGGTAACTGATTGAGCAACCGCCGTGTACGGGTAGAACGGGTCAAAATAATCATAAAAGTTATATACCATTTTGAAATTTTCTCAATATTTATCCCGTAATTAATTAAAATGTATAAACGAATGAGCTCACGAGAAGCGGTAGGACAGGCTCTGTGTGTATAAGAAATGGCTTACCTCTTAGCAACGATAAGTAATCAGCTGATCTTGAGGCGGAGTAACGTATACGTGTCGCTTGTTACTCCGCCTCGAGATCAGCTGATTACTTATCGTTGCTAAGAGGTAAGCCATTTCTTATACACACAGAGCCTGTCCTACCGCTTCTCGTGAGCTCATTCGTTTATACATTTTAATTAATTACGGAATAAATATTGAGAAAATTTCAAAATGGTATATAACTTTTATAATTATTTTGACCTGTTCTACCCGTACACGGTGATTATTCGATCAGTTACTGGATACTCTGTATAATATAATTTCGTGTATAATATAATTTCGATAATCAGAAGAAAACAATTTAAATAAATTAAAACTCATGATGATATTTAAACAACATAAAATAAGTAGAGTGTCAATAAGAATCTATGCACATAATGAAAAACGCACATAATGAATTTTACAAGTAAAAATATCAAATCAACAAAATATTATGAGCAACATTTTCTCTGCGCGGGTTTTTTTTCTTTTAATGGTAGAGAAAATTAAAATTACCAAACAAGAAAATTGAGAAAGAAATAAGCAATAATCAAGAGTTAAAATCAATGAGAAAAGTAAAAAGAAAAAAGAACAAATCAGTATATCTTATATAAAGTAAAACTCTATAGATATTCGATTAATACAAAGTAAATCTTTCTTCACAGAAAAAAAATAGAAAATTAGGTCGACAATACTATAATATTATACAATATAATTTAAGGTTACGGTAATCGCACGTCAAAGAAAAAAAAACAAATTACAATTAGAAACGCGATCAATTATAAAAAAATATCAGTTTAATGAAGGTATAATATGCAAAAATTTCGGCTCTATTTTAGACCCTTTTCAATACTATAAAAGAGCAAAATCCTAAAATAAGAAAATAAAGAAAAAAATAGATTATAGTCAAAAATAAAAAGTCAGAGAAAGAAAAGTAAAAAAGGAAGGAAATTAAACGGTGTACAGGATATTCGATAACTCACGGAGGAGCCGCGGTATATAAATAGATTAGGTCAAACTGAACAAAAATTCCTCCACCATTTTGCGAACAACCACATAAAATTTCGAGTTATTAATCCAAGAAGATTCGTGAATGATGATGGTAGATAAGTAATAGAGAAGTCTGCCGCTATATACTTGTATATTAGGTCAAACTGAACAAAAAAGTTCTCTACCGTCTTCGAAATGACCACATAGATGTTTAGTTATTAATTAAAAAAAGATTGGTGCATTATTGCGTACAACTGTACATCAAATTTTAATTAATAACTAAACGTGGTCATTTGGAAAACGGTAGATGACTTTTTGGTTCAGTTTGACTTAATAGTATAGAAGTATACAGCGGCAGACGTCGCCATCACAGTTCATCTATTGTATGGCGCGTAATCATTCACAAATCTTCTTTGATTAATAACTCCAAATTGTTTGTTCTCAAAATAATAGAAGATTTTTTTGTTTAGTTTGACCTGATCTACTTGTAGGGTAAACTCGGATATTATGGTTATACTAGAAAGGTGGCCATAGATGGCTGTAATTTCTTTAATAATTGCAAAACATTGTGTAATCAGTCACAAAGATAATCGATATTTATCGTAGTGTATGTGCGTACATTTTTCGAAATAACAAGATTATGAATATTAGACTATATTTTTATTTTCGACTACCTGTAAAATTTCTCATGTGTCCACTAAAATTTGCTGTAATTCCGAATAAATTACAGTTAAGCTATCGCAATCAACGTTAGATACATAAAGTAGGTATGTAAATTGTAATATAACATGCATTTTTATTTTTGTTTTCACTATTTGTTTATAAGTACTATTATAACCGTCTTTCACTCACATTTTGGGTAAGATGGCCCACTATCATTTTAACATTTATAAAACGAAGTCGTTATATTTCAAAAATTACTTTCAATATTACAGTAATTAAATCTTATGTGCAATATGTTTTGATAAAAAATGAGATTTAGAATTTAAATTTTGTAATAAAAGTTTCTATTTAAGTTTAAATCTTATCAAAGTTTAAATTTTGTAATAAAAGTTTCTATTTTATATGTGTATTATATTTTTCACAAATAATACGTATTAAATATCCTATACTAAAATGAATATGTCAAATTATGTTTTTTTCATTATTTTATAAAATAATAGGAAATGCAGAATCTTGAACATAAAATATGTATGGGTCATCTATTCTTTATGGCCATCTTGTCTTAAAAATTTAGGTAAGATGGCCAATGCTCATGTTTTGATATTTTTGTAATAAATAATTTCACTGAAATATTTTCCTTTTAACTCTGATGGTATTATATACTGTAGACTTCAGTGAAGTAATGTGCCAAACGCTATTAAAAAATAACAATAAGAAATGTATTTTTTTTGCATTTTAAAAAAGTATGGCTATATTATCCGAGTTTACCCTACATCGTGACTTCTCTGTAAGTTAACGGACACCCTATATATTCCGCGATGTGTCAAATTTTAGACTTCACGTCACAGATGCGACGTGCTCGGGCTATCAACTCGATCGGAGAAGTAATCTGTTTATATTTCAGGCCCTCGACCACATCCGAACCGTTCAGGCACGCCTTCGATCAGGAGTATCGCGCCGCTGAAGCTGCAGGGCGACGAGACGGCGGGAGTTGCGAGCGCTTGTTCACGGAATGCCCGGAGAGTCTTTTGGAATACTTCACCGAAATATTCGAGTGATCGGCCCGCCGGCGACGTTATTATTCTTTCGGCGACACGCCCTGGAATTAATCCTTTTTTTTTTATCAGGAACACAACCTCTATTGTTCTGCGCAATAATAAGCATCGCGGCATTAAATATTTGAACATTCACGGGAAGTTGCTTAATATCCCGTCGGGGAAAACAAAGGGTTAATTAGCAAATTATCACAGGTGGTCTGACTTCGCCTGGAAGTTCGTTAATTTCCGCGTAGCCTCTTCCACAGCGTATTCTAACTGAAAGGAAGTCTTAAAAGGACAATAACGTTGCCCATGAGCGAAGACGTGCCACGAGAATTTATAGAAAAATTGATAATGACGTTCTTGATACACACCGTTTCACCGCGTCAGCACCGCGCGCATGAATAAAACGTGGAAAAGCTAATGAATGAACAATAATTAGCGCGCGTCGTTATCACATTTCAGGCTTTGATAATTGACATAACATTTCTTTGTGATCTGCGTGCGTGAACTCTTCATCACGAATGTCAAAGTAGGTTTAAGATTTGATAAGATTTGAGAAATAATACGTTACTGTTACGAATTATTTTTTCGATAGTACCGACTTAGTAATGACGTTACATTTTCATTAGTAACGCCATTAGTAACACAATTACATTTCTTGAGCAAATACAACAAATGTAATTTCTTCTATTATTACTTTGTATATATACAATACATGTACAATACATGGAATGAGTACGGTAATAGTAACGGAAAAGTCTACGAAATTTCCTGAAAAAAGTAATGTAAATTGTAATGGCTCGTTACTTCATCAATAACGATAACGGTGATGAGTTATTTTTTTTTTAATGGGTAACATTTAATTTTTTTCTAAATGAATAATGGTAATGAGTTACTCTTCAAAACAAGTAACGAATTATTTTCCAAAATAAATAACAATAACAGTAACAAGTTATTTTTCTCAAAATAAATAATAATAACAATAACAAGTTAATTTTCAAAAAGACTAGCGGTGACGGTAACAAGTTACTTTTTCCAAAATGAATAACGGTGAGAGTATCAAGTTATTTTTCAAAATAAATAATGGTAATGGTAACAAATTATTTTTTAAACTGTAAGTAATGATAACAAAATAATTAACTATAAGAGTAACAAGTTATTTTTTAAAATAAATAACGGTTATGGTGACAAATTATTTTTCAAAGTAATGATAACGGTAAAGGTAATGAGTTATTTTTCAAAATGAGTTAACGATAACAGTAATTAATTATTTATTCAAAATGCGTGTCAACAAAGATAACAAGTTATTTTTCTTAAAATAAATAATCGTAACAGTAAAAAGTTATTTTGTAAATAATCGTAACAGTAAAAAGTTATTTTTCAAAAAGAAATAACGAGTTATTTTCCAAAACGCGTGACAATTCCGATAACGAGTTATTTTGTTCGCAATAAGTAACAGTACAATAATACAGTACAGTAAGTTATTTTCCAAAAAGAATAACGGTAACGAATTGTTTCTCAAAATAGATAGAAGTAACAAATTATTTTTTAAAATGGGTAACATTAACGGTAACGATTTACTGTTTTCAACGAGTATCGAGCAAGCAACGGTAACGAGTTACTTTGCAAAATTAACTTTTCCAACCGTTTATTGACATCAGGATTAACGTGCGACACCGCCGGAAAGAAATAACCGAAGATTGCGGGCGCAAACCGAATAAACTTTTTAATAACAGCCGCCTCCATCGCAACGCATGGTGATTAGTGACCGGTTTCGGCCTCTATAAATTTCGAGCGGACCATTTTCTCCTCGCATGCAGCTGTTATCGAGAACGCGAGTATTGGCAATAACGTCCGATATAACTGCGTCACGTCCTGTCGCCGGCATCCTCCGCGTTTCTCGGTTCGGCGCGCGTCCTCTCACCGTGCCGCCCCTCGCGCGTCCATTCATCCCTCCTCACTCTCCTTAATATTTGTAATATCGGCTCCGACGATCCGCACGGCCATCCTAGCTCGTAACTCACTTTTTACGCGAACGAGCTCTGCGCATCCCGACCCTATCTCGGGGTGTCCACGGCTGTCCAGGAACTAGCAGAACCAACCTGGGGGATCCTCTTAATACGCAGGACGCGCGGATTCCTGCCGCACGGAGGATCGTTTTGCCTTATCGAGTGTGTACGGGAGACGTAGGGAGGAATTGGCGTAGTTTTCTGTGCACACACCGCCGCGAAATGTATTGTTCACGAATGGATCCCGCCACGGAAATTGAATTACAACTTCGGAACGACGTAATAAAACTCCTCACCCTCGTCGCGCGCATATCCTCCGCCGTGTTCGTCGGGCTTCTTGTCGCAGGGGCTTCTAGCGCGAGAGGAAAAAGCGGCGAAACGCGATCCCGGCTGTTTCCCCTAGGCGGTTTCAACGAGAGCCTAGCTTCACTTTATCCACCGGCGAGAAGCAGACTGTGATTCGCGACGGAAACGCAGTCCGTGTTTACCGCGCTCAACGTAGCCAGAAGTGACCGTTAATCATTTATCTCGAGCACCTCCAAGGTGCTGACGAACAATGGGTTTATATCGCTTTTTGTTCTGTTTTCGTCTCGTTTTCGTCAGTTTGTTTTGTTGTTGTTTTTTTTTTTCAATTTTTCCTTTTAAGTGGCACGTACAACCGGGCCGCTGCGGAAAATGGATCCTCCGATACCGCCATTGTTGGCCGGCGTGATAAACTGACCCCGCATACGTCTTCTTTTGTTTCAGAAATGCCCTGCGCGCTGTTACGTAACCATTTATTTTTTTTAGTCCGACACCGATTTCGGGCATTGTATCCCGTGATCCAACGTCTCGCGCGACTAAGAGAAACAATTGTAATCGCGGAAGCGTCATCCGCCGAGTTGTCGAACAAGCATTTGATCGTTTTGATTGTTCGATCATATTAATTAGTCACATTGTTGGTTAATTAATTTTTTAGCGATTGTCAAGGAGTAAAATTTATATAGGGTGTGCTATAACTCACAGAAGAGTCGCGGTACACAGAGTGTTGCAATAACATACAACTCATTATAACGGGTTGCCTATCCGTGAGGTGCGCGCGTCCAGACGATAACGCAAAGATTAATAACGCTAGTCTCTCACCTATCTTTCGAACGAAGTTGCAATATTTCTAGTTATCAAGATTTCAACGAGTCCGTCAGACTCAGCTCCGAATACATCGTATTTTTTTATGTTAAAGAAAATGTTTAAAATATCTACTATTAAAGATATATTAATAATAAAAAAATATTATAATATATTATAGATTTGATAAACATAGATTTATATTATGTTAAGATAAGGATATTATTTATATTATGTTAAAATAAAGATATATTATAAAAAATAATGTTAACGAATTATGTTAATGAAAAAATATTATTTGTATTAAATATAAAAAATATATCTTATTTGTTATATTATAATAAATCTCGATAACTAGAAATACTGCAACTTTATTCGAAAGATAGGTGAGTGACTAGACCGGCAATCTCTGCGTCTTACCGTCTTAACGCGCGCGCCTCACGGATAGGCAACCCGCTAAGATGAGCTGTATGTTGTTGCAACATCCTGTATAGGTAGATTAAGTCAAGCAGAAAATTCCTCTACCATTTTGCGAACACGTAAAATTTTGAGTTATTAATCAAAGAAAATTCATAAATAATTACGCGCCATATAGTAGATGAGTTGTGATGACAACGTCTGCCGCTATATGCTTGTATATTAGATTAAATTGAACAAAAAAGTTCTCTATCATTTTCTAAATAACCACGTACATGTTTAGTTATTAAGGTGGGCGTTTCATGTAATGAGTTAAAAATGTCGAATTTTGTTTGCATAATTTAATATTTTAACCCATCAAGATTATGTTCCTTGAGTTTTAAAACGAAATTCGTAGAATTAACGTAGTTACAGACGATTTAATTATTGACCCTCAAGCAAGTAAAATATCGAGCGTGCAGTGCATCCGTTTGCATTTCATCTGGATGTGCAGAAAAACTTATTACCAATATACAAAGAGCTTTCCAGAAGAAATCTTTTAGAAAGATGTTTAGGCGAGCACACGCAGAATGTAAACGAAAGTTTCAATTCGACAGTCTGGCGTTTGGCCACATCTTAAACATCTCAATTATGGTTTCAAAACGATCGAAATCGCTTTTATAGCTGCAGGCGTTTTCAATGCACGCTACAATTCTATTTTGCAAATAATGTGCAGCATGGATATTGTTATTGATCAGCAATGCAAAATATTTGCTGATTAATACGACGCACAACCAATACGGAGGCAGAAGCGCCGCAGCGCAAGCAGTATTAAAAACACTCGATTGACTAGTCGAGAACAAAATGCGGACTTACTAGAATTTTTTGAAGAAACAGAAGGTTTACTTTATAAACTTGGCATAGCAGATTAGCTGTAAGTAGTCCAAAATTGTTGGTTAATTGTACTCAAAATTTTCTAAACGCGTTTTTCTTGAAACTATTTTTTTTTTAATTGGCGTGCAAGATAACTCAAAAACTATTCATCCGATTGAGTTCTCCTAGTACATACATTTAGATAAATACTTTCCTTATAAATTGCACTTTTATTTGCAATTGTATTGTTTAAATAAATTATTTTTATTGTACAATTAATATGAAATTTGATATGAAACATTTCTTGTAAAAGTCGATATATTTTGTGTCGCGATTTTTACAATTTTGCATTATTCTCTTTAACAATAGGTTCAATTAATAACGTAAACGCTATAGTAAAGAAATTAATTTGGTTCTTTTTGTTTCAGATGAATACAAGCAGCGCTACATTGCACGTTGACAAGCGACTTCAACGCCGACGCATTTGATTAACATTATTATTATTTTTAAAATATATATTATTTTTATTTTTAAAAATATTTTTTTAGTATTTTAATATTACAATAACATATTCTAAAGATTTCAAAAAAATTGGTCGTATAATTTTCTAAAACAAATTCCGAAAAGTCACCTTATTTTCAGCGCGTTACATGAGATGCACCCCTTAATTAAAAAAGTTTGGTATATAATTGTGCGCATTAATAAAACATCCTTTTAATTAATAACTAAATATGTACGTGGTCATTTGGAAAATGGACTTATTTTATTCAGTATATCCTAATATACAAGCATACAGCGGCAGATATCGTCATCACAGCTCATTTACCGTATAGTGCGTGATTATTTACAAATCTTCTTTAAATAATAACGTAAAATTTTACATTGTTTGCAAAATGATAGAGAAATTTTTATTCAGTTTAACTTAATCTACACTGTATACCGCGGTTTCTTTGTGAGTCACCGGACACTCACTCTGTATAAAGATTAAAGAATATGGCCATTCATGGGACTGGAGGGTTAGATTGCCTGAAAATCATGCTTGTTTTTTTACAATTTTTCACAATTTTTTATGACAAACTGAATGAATATGCGAAAGTTTATTTTGACGTGTATTTATACAAAGATTTATAAAGAGACGAAAAATATAATTTTGATGATCAAATACTCAACATAAGTGTATGGCACGCAGTTAAAATGTATTTCGTTTTTCTTCTTCGTTATTTTGCAGTAATATCTCGATTCTCGGCAGTTCAACTAAGCTGAATTTTAGATAGAAAATTTCCGTAACGTGTTGGATGCGAGAGAGAGAGAGAGAGAGAGAGAGAGAGAGAGAGAGAGA